TCCGCGCAAGTGTATTCACACTCAGGACAGCGGAAGGGTTTATCAGTACCATGCTTGGTACGCATATGTCTAAGTAACTGAGATCGTCTACTGAAAGCACTTCCACACTCGGAGCAGTTGAAAGGCTTCTCAACGGAATGCTTTGAAAGAATATGTTGCTTCAAGTCATTTTGTCGGACACACGAATATTTGCACTGGGAACAATTAAAAGGTTTCTCCGATGCATGTCTTGAAAGAATATGACGCTTCAAGTCAAGTAGCCGGACGGATGTGTAAGAACAAAGAGAGCAGTTAAAAGGTTTCTCGGGAGTATGCTTTGATAGAATGTGCATATCTAGATAATGTTTTGTGACGCATTCATAACTACAGTGCGAGCAGTGAAAAGGCTTCACGGATGAATGCATGGCAAGACTGTGTAATTTCAGTTGCCCGCGTTCAACACATGCAAATTTACAATCTGAGCACTTAAGAGGTTTCTCTGAATGATTGGCAAGAACATGATACTTAAAGTTGCATCTTTTATCGCTAACATAATCACAATCATCACAGTGATATGTTTTCTTGCGTGCGAGTTTATCAGTAATAAGGGATGATGCAGAGACGTGGCCACCGCCACCAGCCGCTGCTGCAGAGACGTGGCCACCACCACCAGCCGCTGCTGCAGAGACGTGGCCACCGCCACCAGCAGTGGATGACGCGTTGCTGTTACGCTGCTCACACCAAGACGTGTCACTTTCATTTCATCTTAATTTCAGAATTAAAAATAAATAAATTATATTTTATGAGAAGAAATCAGAAGAAAAAAAAAAGAAAGCAAAATAAATTTTTCAGAGACTACCTTCACCATCAGACCATTCAAAAATAAATTATATAAATGAATAATAAGAAATAACTATGCAAAAAATAGAGGCAAAACAAATTTTTCTAACTTTCTACAGTTAAAAATTAGAGAACCCTTATACCACTAATAAATGTAATGAAAAAAATAACAATAAAACAACTGCCACGATAAATATTATAAAATATATTAGCTAATTAATCCTAATGCTCAAAATCATAGACAGCTTTTTGGACATGTTACCTCAGCAACAAGCAAGGGGCGTTGAGGGGCGTCGTGGGCATCATGCCCCGCACAAGGGGCCTCCCTCTTGCAAGGTGCAGATGTAGGGGGCAGTTCAATTAGCTGGCCACCACCTCTAGGGCTGGAGTCACTTGGCTGCATGAATAGATATTATTATATTATATATATATACTGGTATTAATTTCATTCATAAGAATGAGCTCGTAAATAAACTTGAAAATCTAGATTGGAATCAGTCGTGATATTTTTGATGAATTAAAATTCCTCATTTTATCGATGTTTATCATAAACCATTATGACTTGTTAAAATCTAATCATAGATTAATTTTGAGGCATATATATTTTTCAATTTTGAATAGTTGAATATACACACTATTTCACTCAAAACTTCATAGCTAAAACAAAATATTAGAATATAACACAGGAATAAAATTCATCAGAAGCCAGCTAACACATATACCTTGTCATCATACTTTAATTGTTCCTGCTTCACATGAACTGGCTCCATGGCTTCCACTAACTCCTCCTTGACGTACACAGTTGGAGCTCCAGGGGCTGAAGAGGCATCACCAGTACCTGCAGCTGCAAAATAAATAATATGTGTTTAAAAATTACTTCATAAAGAAAACACTTCTAATGAATCCAGTGTCTCTGATGTTACACATGTACAATAAATTTCTAATTCTATTTTTGTATATTTGAAAAAAATTTCAAATTATTTATTCCGTCAATTAACTCGTGCATTGTCTCCAACTTGAAACACGTGTGCAAAATTACAGATCAATTTATTATTGAGGTTTCTCATTTTCATCTACCTATTTGCCTGCGAATTTGAACATATAAAATAATTGTTTTAACTTCATACACAGCACAACCATAAAAAAACCATGCCAGTTCACTATACAGGGTCATCAATATTTAGTGTTACAAATTTGAGTGGTTAGAACTATGAAATGAAACACAATTGTGAATGTTTGAAAATGTATTTATGTAGGCAGAGGTTCAGAGATACAATTCCCACAATTTCATTCAATATGTCCACCATCTGCATCAATAACGAGATGTAGACGCTTAGAGAAAGCCTTACACAAGTCACGAATGACACTCTACGGGATTTTGGCCCGCTCCTTCAGCAGTTTGACCTTTAGGGCATCCAAACTGTGATGGTGAACAGTCGAGACCTTGCTCTCAAGGTATGACCAGATCCCAAAATCCAGAGGATTCTGATTGGGTGACGATGGGGGCCATTCATCTTTGGTAGGTAATGAAGTGGGGAACATTCTCGGACAGCCACTCCTGAATTGATTTGACCCCATGAGATGGTGCAGAGTCCTGCTGGAACGACCAGGGACGTTTTTTGAAATGCTTTTGTGCCCAGGGCAACAATGTACCAACAAGGATGAGGATGGGATAAACTAAGATGTTTATGTTAGGAAGTACAGCAAATGGGAAGTTCCATTTGCCATTGGATGTCTAATAATTGAGTACATATACATTACATGGCCTGTAAATCTCATAGTGGCATTTTTCTCCCCATTTTTGCATCTGAGAACCTTGCCCTATTTTCAGATAAGACCAGAACTCTGTCTCCTTAGAAGACTAGTCTGCTAAATTAGGTAGCAGTACACCTGTTCACATCAGAAATGATAGAAGTAATTGTAATTCAGAAAAATATACATACAACTAAACTATATGGAAAGTAAGCTGTTCCTTGTTGAAAGCAATTTTATTTTATGTATGCATACATTTTAAACAGATAAATGATAATAGATTTATTGCACAATTACCAAGAGAAATATTGAAGCATGCCTCACAATGCCATCAGCAGTATTTAGGAAGTTGGAGCAAGAGTGAGGAGGGTATTTGAGAAATGAATATGTATGTACATAATGGACTAACCTGTGTGGGGGAATTAACTGTGAACATAAATCTTCCTGAATAGGAGCCCAAATTAGTAAAACTACATCTGACAAATGAACATAATGAAGTGTGGATGAAAATTTGCACCTTTGATATATTGCTGTGGGTGAAATCCGTACTAAAATATTTTTAGCGATGGAGAAGATTTTAAAGCCAACAACTAATTTTTTATACAGGGGAAATTTTTTGCAAAATTGCTCATTTAACTGTAAAATTTAAAAAATAGACTTCCTCTCATCAATTTAGAAACACAGTGTCTAATGAAACCTCATGGTGTGTAGAAACTTTTTTTTCAGTCAAAGATTCAGGGAAGCCCTGAAGACTCTTCCGATGTTGTCCCAAGATGGAATTGTGCAATTTAGTTGATGCACAGCTTTAGGCAGGTAAGACAAAGCAAAGATATTTTTAGACTTCTTTTCCAAGCACGATGAGTAGACAAGTAAGGTATCGTGATTAAGAGCAATGTCATGCCGTCAAATGGGGGTAATAAAGGATGCTATTTTTTGTTGACAACTTCTCACCCAGAAACATTTCATAAAGACTTTGGGCTCATTTTAAAAGTCTTTGCAAGGGCTGCTGTACAGCATCTCCAAAGACCTCCAAAAAAACTCTTGATGCCATTTGTAAGGCGACTGAAGCAAAAAATACATACCAAATTACCCCTGGGAGAAGGGTAATTTGGGACACATGGAATAAAACATAATTTTAAACGTTTGAAGCATGCAGACTGTACTCATTCATTAATAACAGAACTCCAAAGTCCTCCTCTCTTTAAGTAGATGATGCAGATATAGAATAAATTAAGTTTTCTGTGATTTGTCCTTGCTTTTGCTCTATTGATGTTATTTTTCATTTCAACAAAAATTAGTTTTTCTTCTATACCTAACAGTTTTTAAGAAGCCTAGAGAAAACTTTCATGCCATTGACAACAACCTTGTCCACTGTAAGTTTCATATCAGCAGACATATAACATTTCGTCTGTAAACTTATTGAACAGGGCTGGTAATTTTACACCATTTTAATTGGTTCCAGTAATGTCATGTAGCATTTCTCCAGTAAGCATACAGGAATGGGCTTGTAATTTCACACCATTTTATATGGTTCAAGTGAATTAATTCATGATAAAAAATTGTAAAAACATACCTGAAGAAAGAAAGGGATATTTTTTAGTGACATATATATTTCTTGAAGAAATATATCATAGTCTAGGTTAATTACTTTTCAGTCTATGTTGCGCAGTGCACAATTCTATCTATGGCATTCTATGCACAATTTTGTGATGACTAATGTTACATTAATTTTTTATCAAGTGAAATTTTTCACTGACAAAGATAAATTTAGTCAAAATTCCTTGCTGTTATCCAATTTTTTTGGTTAACCAGAGCCTTTGCTAATCAAGGTTCTTCTGTAAATGCATTTTTAGGGTTGTCCCATATTACCCCTGGGGGGTGTCCCTTAATACTCAGTCTTGCCGAAATGGCTGCCATTTCGTTTTGGATTAAGGTATGCAAATTCTGTTGATAAAGTTTCAAAGCCAACACCTGTCTGTAAGATTTTTTTAAGCAATATTTTTTAATACACAATATATTTTTTACAGACCTTAACAAAATCAATTTATCAAAATATCCCTTCTTACATTTCTAGGGATTTTTCAGAGCTAGTAAATCTATGATTTCTCAAATTTTTAGCGCATTTACTCATTTATGGAATAAATGCACTATTGTGCTTGCCATGTCCGTCTGTCTGTCTGTCCATCCGTCCGTCCGTGACCTCAAGTTTTCGTCGACAAGAAAATGCACTTTCTGCCACTCACTGCAGTGAGTACTGAGTTATATTTTTTTGATATGCTGTACATTAGCCCTGGCAAAGAGCTATAAAATGAGCCCAAACTTGTTTACAAAATGTTTCATGGTAAGAAGTTATTAACAAAAACATGCAAAACCCTCCCTTATTACCTCATTTGACAATAGTTGGAATAAATGCAATATCAGAAACTAGTATGTCTGTCAACAAACTACACAGGTGATTAAATCCATATAAAGTTTGAAGGGTGAAGCAAGGAAATGGCAAAAGCAGAATGCCATACATGCAAAACAGCAGTAGCTACTGTACAGGAAGCTATGTTAATGTGCATTGTATTGCTTGAGAAATGGATACAAGAAAATTCAACCAGCATGTGACTGACATGACAGGGCTCTGGTTCACCATATTTAAGATGATTTGTCAACTTAACACTTGAACTTCTACTTTCCATAATTTCATGGGCCTATTTCTTCAACGCCGACACTTCTATTCCCCAAATGGCAATGTAGTCAGACCAAGTGTAATAGTGTATTAGTATAACTATGCATTGACATGCATGTATTATTATACAGTAATGGCAATATATACTAAAGGTACTAAATTGTAATAAATTATGTAATATTTGCCCTGTTTTTGTAGGTCAATACATCTGCTTACTAGTAAAACTTGTTATAAAAATAGTGTCAATATTACTACTACAAAAAGTATTTGTGATGATAGACTCAATTAATGCTGTATTACCACAGCACAGAACTAAGGTTGCTGAGAAGTGACCACATTGTGTCATATGCTAGTGAGGAAAACATCTACTCTCTAAACTATGACTGTATTTTTTGAGCTTTGATTTTATAGATTTGCAAGCCGTGGTTCTATTTATTTGAGCCATGAATACCATTTTCTGGCCATAAAAAGCCATTAATGAGCCTCAAATTCATTTGCAAAGTCCTGTGCATATGTTATCGCAAATCTCTAATATTACCTTAGGAACAGCAATAAGAACATTTGTCTTCACTTTAGAGGCAACTGAACATGTGATCAGAGGTGGGCAATAGCGCACTGCATTTTAGTAGCAGTAGCAGTAGCAACGCTACATTTAAGCAATTGTAGCAGTAGCGATAGTGCCTGCTACATAGTTAAGTAGCGATACGAGGTTTTGCCGCTACAGCGCTACCGCTACATTTATAGATAAAGCCTTTAGATTTTACTTAATAGTATTAAATATTATTTAAAAACCAGCATGATACATACATAATATAAATTACAGAATAAAACTGTACGAAAGATTTCAGTATAATGTTGTCAACCTCAGCCTGTTACTAGTGTCAACATGTTAGTTGTTACCAGAGATGGGCAGTAGCATGCTACATTTTCAGTAGCAGTAGCGGTAGCGGCACTACAATCTAATGGGTGTAGCGATGGCAGAAGCGCCTGCTACATTTAGAGCATGTAGCGGTAGAGGTAGCGGCCACTACATTTCAAAGTAGTGCTGCCCAGCTCTGCACGTGATAATGTAGTATTCAAATTTTTGTTCAATAATAAATGCAGTTATAATGTAGTTTGATGTGACTGCAAATATGCGATCACTGACAAAATGTTTTGGGTTAACTCATTATGCAGGATATTTTGGCAGGGGCATGGTACTGAAAAGGGAAAGTTGAAAATTTTGTGAAATGACATGTTTGTGAACTGCAATTTATTTAACCAAACAAAAGTACATTTATAAATTAGGTAGGTATTACTTTAGATTGAGTGCATCTAAAAAAGGGCGTTTTTTGTTTAATTATACGTTTTTTGTGGTGTAGATGAAGAATCTGAAATCCGTTTTTGGCAGTCGGCATCGGAAAACCAATTTTTATATATGCTGATTTTTATATATTTTCTAAGAAAAAATGCAAGTTAAATCTTGGCCCCAATATTCATGGATTTATAGCGTTTTTAACTTAGCCTTGGTGACCCATATACTCTTGCAACCATGACATTGCAGGCAACCACGACCTTGCAACCACGGTTAGGTTAGGTTAGGTGTTTTTGCCGATTTTGCCAGTTTTTGCCTGATTTTTTTCAACGAATTAGAGCCTTGGGGAAAAAATTGGTTTTCCGATGCCGACCCCCAAAAACGGATTTCAGATTCTTTATCTACACCCCAAAAAACATATAATTAAATAAACACCCTTTTTTGGATGCACTTAATCTAAAGTATTACCATAAATTACAGCCACAAACTTTCATACCTACCGTACTGAAATTATATTATAGTAGAATAAAAATATTTCAGAAAAAAATCATGACTTTTTCAAACTAGGTCATAAGGGTCCTGCTGGCCCCTGCATGCTTCAGATTTTTCACTTTGTGGAAGGATTAAAGTCAATTTCAGGAGACTTAAGACCCTCTACAGCAGATATTGGAGAAGCCATGTGATAGCCCTTGCAAAGAGCTTTGAAATGAGCCTAAACTTGTTTATGAAATGTTTCATGGTAAGAAGTTATGAATGAAAAACTTTCGAAATCATCCCGAGTAGCCCTGGTTGACGGCAAATTACAGAATAAAACTGTACAAAAGATTTCAGTATAATGTTGTCAACCTCAGCCTGTTACTAGTGTCAACATGTTAGTTGTTACCAGAGATGGGCAGTAGCATGCTACATTTTTAATAGCAGTAGCGGTGGCGGCGCTACAATCTAATGGGTGTAGCGATGACGGAAGCGCCTGTTACATTTAGAGCATGTAGCGGCAGAGGTAGCGGCCACTACATTTCAAAGTAGTGCTGCCCAGCTCTGCATGTGATAATGTATTATTAAAATTTTTGTTTAATAATAAATGCAGTTATAATGTAGTTTGATGTGACTGCAAATATGCGATCACTGACAAAATGTTTTCGGTTAACTCATTATGCAGGATATTTTGGCAGGGGCATGGTACTGAGAAGGGAAAGTTGAAAATTTTGTGAAATGACACGTTTGTGAACTGCAATTTATTTAACCAAACAAAAGTACATTTATAAATTAGGTATTACTTTAGATTAAGTGCATCCAAAAAAGGGTGTTTTTTGTTTAATTATATGTTTTTTGGGGTGTATATGAAGAATCTGAAATCCGTTTTTGGCAGTTGGCATCGGAAAACCAATTTTTATATATGCTGATTTGTAGATATTTTCTAAGAAAAAATGCAAGTTAAATCTTGGCCCCAACATAGTGGCAAAGCAGAGAGTTTTTTAGACTCTTCCCAAAGTTCATTTTTGAGTCCTATAAGTAGACCAGTAAAGTATCTTGGATACCAGAATTGTCATACATAAGAAATCTGTTAAAATCTTGGGTAAATGAGAAAATTAAAAATGAACTGATTCTAAAAAATCACTGGTTTGCCACCATGGGCCCCAATATTCATGGATTTATAGCATTTTTAACTTAGCCTCGGTGACCCATATACTCTTGCAACCATGACATTGCCGGCAACCACGACATTGCAAGTTGCAACCACGGTTAGGTTAGGTTAGGTTAGGTTAGGTATTTTCGCCGATTTTGCCAATTTTTGACTGATTTTTTTCAACGAATTAGAGCCTTGGGGAAAAAAATTGGTTTTCCAATGCCAACCGCCAAAAACGGATTTCAGATTCTTTATCTACGCCCCCAAAAAACATATAATTAAAAATAAACACCCTTTTTTTGTATGCACTTAATCTAAAGTATTAAGTACCATAAATTACAGCCACAAACTTTCATACCTACCGTACTGAAATTATATTATAGTACAATCACAATATTGCAGAAAAAAATCATGACTTTTCCGAACTAGGTCATAAGGGTCCTGCTGGCCCCTGCATGCTTCAGATTTTTCACTTTGTGGAAGGATTAAAGTCAATTTCAGGAGACTTAAGACCCTCTACAGCAGATATAGACATTTCTTAATAATCTGTATTTGTACTGAAGCTCAATTCTGGGCATGTATGAAAATTTAGTATGTTTGTCAGGGAAGCAGAATTTTCAATTGGGATCTCATAGTAGGATTGCTGCCACATGAAATGTTAAAGCAGGAAATAAAGTTGAAAAATGTAACAGCAGGAAATTTTCAAACTTTATACAGATAAAAAATAGAGAACCCATATATACCAACTATGAATGTAATGACAAAGTAACAATAAAACAACTGCCACAAAAATAACAATGAAAAGACTTCTGCAAAAAATAAAACAACTGGCATGAAAAATAACAATAAAACAACTGCCACAAAAAATAACAATAAAGAAAGTGTCATGAAAAATGATAAAACAACTGCCTGGCAGTTGTTTGGCAAGGGCTTTACAAATGGATTAAATTGAAATGGATGAAATTGGCAAGGGCTTTACAAATGGATGAAATTGACTGCTAACACATCATGCAAGCATTGAAAACATCTGCCTTTAGGGCCGCAACTAGAGGTTTCCCGCCATTTCTGAAACCGCGAGATTTCCGTCAGATGAATTACCTCCTATCCACATGTTAACAAAAGTGCGATATCGAGCCGCGAGATTCCAAATGTATTGAAAATTCGTCATGTTGAAGCCGCGAGATTTCAGAAACAAATAGAAAAATTCCAATCCTGAACACATGCACTTCCATCTCATTTTTGGATAGTTTCTGCTTTTTTTCTAGTGAAGTAACTGAAGTTAAGGAGGTCAGGATAAAAATATAAACAAAAATTCCTAGATTACCTATGTTTTTTAAATGATAACTATTAATTACTGGTATGAGACTATTCAAGGGTGGAAAATATCTTTCTTTATGGCCATGACTAGCACTTTCCCAGTTTCCCGCTATTTTTAGAACCGCGAGATTTCCGCAACAATAATTACCCCTATCTAATTGTTTACAAAAGGGCACAATTATGATTGGGCTGCAAGATTCCAATTGTACTAAACATTTGTCACGTTGGACTGTTGGAAGTATAAAGTATAAACTAGGTCACAGGTGTAGTGACTGTGACATCTGTAACTGTAAGAAATAAGAATGAGAGTCAGAGACTTAATTAGAGTTGAGAAAAATGAGAGTCTGATACTTAATTGGGATTTCTGTTTATTTGAAATTCGGAAGTGTCGAACTATTGTTCCTCAGTCTTCACATTTACCTATCTACAAGAATGATAAATACGTGTAAGATAAATGGCAATTAAACAGTTATTGAAGGAACTTCTACATGTCCATTTACCTACAAGTACAATAGTTAGTGTGCACCATCAACAGCAAGCAGGTAGCAATAGTATACACAAAGCAAGACGTCAAATGTGGCGAACTATGGATCAATCGAATTCTGCGGAGAATCATCCTGTGAATCCGGAATTCTAAAAGAAGTACAGCGATTCGTATTACTTATATCAGTTTGTATTTTTGAATGTGAATAATTTATATATGGATTAAAATATAGTGCAAAAAATTCACCGATTCTGCCACATCTATCTGACGTGCAGGTATTGTGAATAACAACTATTAGTCATATATTTACATAGAATTTACAAAATTTAAACGTGCCACATAGAATTTACAAAAAGTCTCGTAAAAATCCGTCACTTTGGCGTGAAAGATGAACGCATGTGATAGCGTTTGTTGTGTGCCTTCTAAAGGTCTTGACTAATGGAAAAAAGACATTTTACTAATAATGAAGTCAAAATTAACCTCAAGGCAGTTTAAATTAGTGATAAATAGTCTATATCTTTTAATCCAACCTGGAGCACGTATCTTAAGCCAACTTACAGCACGTTTCCTAGCCCGACTCGCTGCACGTCTCTTAGTTCGACGTACAGCACGTCTCTTAGTCCGACGTACAGCACGTCTCTTAGTCCGACTAAGTCCTACAGGGAGCCTCTTAGCCCGACTAAGCCCTGCAGGACGTCTCTTAATCCGACTTCCAGCACGTCTTTTAGTCTAACTTACAGCACGTCTCACAGTCCGACCTACAGCACGTCTCTTCGTCCTGCTTACAGCTCGGCTCCTAGTACGACCTACAGCACGTCTCTTCTCCCCATGTACAGCTCGGCTCTTAGTACGACTTACAGCATGGCTTTTATTCCGACTAACAGCACGTCTCTTAGTCTAACTTACAGCACGTCTCTAAGTCTAACTTACAGCACGTCTCTTAGTCCGACTTACAGCACGTCTCTTAGTCTGACTTACAGCACGTCTCTTGCTCCGACTTACAGCACCTCTCTTAATCCGACTTTCAGCCCGTCTCTTAGTCCGACTTTAAGCACATCTCTTAGTCCGACTTACGGCTCGTCTCTTGCACTGACTTATAGAACGTCGCTAAGTCCGACTTGCTGCACGTCTCTGTCCGACTTACAGCACGTCGCTTAGTCCGACTTGCAGCACGTCTCTTAGTCCGACTTACTGCACGTCTCTTAGTCCGTCTTACAGCACTTTCGCTTAGTCCGTCTGATCAGACGCTCTTTCGAGTTCCTAGATGCAGAAACGATGAAGCAGTTGTTTGTTGCTGTCGTGCGCCCGCACCTAGAGTTTGGAAACGTCGTATGGTCACCGAAATTTGAAAAGGACAGACGCGCAACAAGAATAGTTCCTGGCTTGAAAGGCAAGTCCTATGAGTAAAGATTAAAGATTATGAAGCTTCCAAGCCTCAGTTATCGACGTCTGCGTGGTCGTGGTCTCTGATATTGGCAGAGTGACTAGTTTCCTTTGCTGTGACCCACGATTCATCATCTTTATCTTCAATTTTCCAACGTCAAAATCTCAAACTGTCCTTTTCTATTTTTCCGTCTGGAGTACCTTCCTTTAACTGATTTAGTCTATATTTCTGATTTGCCTCTTACTAAATGCATTAAGCACTGAGATGCACCAAAATCTTAGGTTTGTCAATTTAGTTATTTGTTGATTATTGATTCATAATTTGGAATTGTTTGCTACATAGCTAGTTTCTGATCTATTAATTATTTAGTAAGTAGTTTAATTTTCATTTCAGTATCTGGGACCCGTCGGGGCAACACCATTAAGGAACTTGAAATTCTACATTCAATATCGCTTCATTGAACCGCCCGTTCCTCAAAGATTTCTATACTACAGGATATGAATTATCAAATTCGGCTTCTCATACCACTGGCCCGATCAACGCCAGTTGCACGTTAAATCAATCTGAATATATATATCAGCTGACTATTCTTTATTTATTTGTCCGATTGTGTGAGTCAATCATAATTATTCACACGTCTCTTAGTCCGACTTACTGCACTTCACTTAGTCCGACTTACAGCACTTCGCTTAGTCCGACTTACCGCACTTCACTTAGTCCGACTTACAGCACATCGCTTAGTCCGACTTACTGCACGTCTCTAAGTCCGACTTAGTGCACGTCTCTTAGTCCGACTTACTGCACGTCACTTAGTCCGACCCGACTTACTGCACGTCTCTCAGTCCGACTTACAGCACGTCTCTTAGTCCGACCTACAGCACGTCTCTTAGTGCGACTTACAGCATGTCTCTCAGTCCGACACACAGCCCGTCTCTTAGTCTAACTTACAGCACGTCTCTTAATCCGACTTGCAGTATGTCTCTTAATCCGACTTACAGCTCGACTCTTAACCCGATTTACAGCACATCTCTTAATCCGACTTACAGTATGTCTCTTAATCCGACTTACAGCTCGACTCTTAACCCGATTTACAGCACATCTCTTAATCCGACTTACAGCACGACTCATATCCGACTTACAGCACGTCTCTTAATCCGATTCACAGCACGTCTCCTAATCCGACTTACAGTACATCTCTTAATCCGACTTACAGCACGTCTCTTAAATCCGACTCACATCTCTTAATCCGACTTACAACACGTCTCTTAAAGCGACTTACAGCACAACTCTTCATCCGACTTACAGCACATCTCTTAATCCGACTTACAGTACGTCTCCTAATCCGACTTACAGCACGACTCATAATCTGACTTACAGCACATCTCTTAATCCGACTTACAGCACATCTCTTAATCCGACTTACAGCACGTCTCTTAATCCGACTTACAGCACATCTCTTAATCCGACTTACAGCACGTCTCTTAAAGCGACTTACAGCACAACTCTTCATCCGACTTACAGCACGTCTCTTAATCCGATTCACAGCACGTCTCTTAATCCGATTTACAGCACGTCTCTCAGTCCGACTTACAGCACGTCTCTTAGTGCGACTTACAGCACGACTCTTCATCCGACTTACATCAAGTCTCTTAATTCGATTTACAGCACGTCTCTTAGTCCGACTTAAAGCACGTCTCTCAGTCCGACTTACAGCACGTCTCTTAGTGCGACTTACAGCACGTCTCTTAGTCCAACTTACCGCACGTCTTAGCCCGACTTACAGCACGTCTCTTAGTCCATCTTACAGCACGTGTCTTAGTCCGACTTACAGCATATCTTTTAGTTCGACTTACAACACGTGTCTTAGTCCGACTTACAGCATGTCTCTTAGTCCGTCTTACAGCACGTCATTTGGTCATACTTACAGCACGTGTCTTAGTCCGACTTACAGCATGTCTCTTAGTCCGACTTACAGCATGTCTCTTAGTCCGACTTACAGCACGTCTCTTAGTCCGACTTACAGCATGTCTCTTAGTCCGACTTACAGCACGTCTCTCAGCGTTTCTTGGTCCGACTTACAGCGCACAAGTGGGGTGCAATTTGGATGCCCCCTTGGAAATTAGTTCCCCGATTCGGAACCGGTAATTTATTAATTTATGTACAGTGTTCAGTTACCTTCAAGCATCAACCTTATTGCATTTTAGTAAATAAGTCACTGCCTGGAACAAGTACACGTGGAGAATAAAACACACAATTTTATAATAAGTACTTTATTATTAACTTGTCAATTAATTCAATATGAAAAAAATCTTCACTTCGGTCCCTGCAGGGCCTGTGCTCTAAACGGCGCTTCAATACTACCAAATTTACCAATATGCGTGGTAAATATAGGTAAATATGTAACAATACTACCAAGTATACCAATATGCATGGTAAATATAGATAAATATGTGCCAATACTGTCAAATTTACCAATCTTTTTCAACCATTTTGAATACCATAAGCAAATTAAGGGTTTCCATACAATGATACAATTTAATTAATATAAACAATTAAATTGACAATTATAATAGCTACAAATGAAGTCAAACATTACTAAAATGAGCATGCATTGAAGCAACTCATTGAACATGGTGTCTTGGCTATGCTTGAAATTGCAACATATTTTTGCCAAACACGAGGATTGATAATCTACGAATAATATAATAATTTGAAGAAAATGATATTGGCTGGTAGTAGTCTTACATCAATAAGCTAGTAGGATTTTAATGGCATGCAAGAAACCTGAATTTTAGATGTAGTAATTTTGAGTAGTACAAAAATAGAATAATAATTGTGAAGTTGTACAATAATGGCAGGTCCACCAGACATAATAATGCAGAAAAAACTCATCAATGGAAGCTTTTGCAATATTAAAGCTAAAAAATGATACGATATGAAACCCAATCATGAAATATATGAGCTATCACTTACTTACTAGCTCTGGAAACCAACTTAAAGGTAGAGTTCTGAACAAAACTACATTACTAATGCAGAGTTCTAACTTGTATACTATGCCTGCAATGAGCATACTAGTCCCTAGAGTAGAAGAATAGCAGCTTTTAATAGAATTTACAAGATTCAAAACTGATCGTTCGCAGCGGCATGGCTGATTGATTAAGAACACCTAAATTTAGCACCAAGTTGAAGGTTCGAGCCTCAGTTAGCTGTGAAAATTTTACTATGCCTATAATCGGCAACAGGTTGGATATGGTGTAACCTTCAAGGCCAGTACCAATATATCATATTATATCATAATATGTACACTATTTTGACATTGTGTGGTCTATTTGCAGTCATTGCTTCACAGTTTGAAAACAAAAATTCAAACGCAAATAACATCAGAAAACAATTTTCTTCACCTAAAATTAGTTAAATTTTCCTGCTTTGTGTCTATTCATACTAGGAAACTGAAAATATGGACAAAAAACTGAAAACAATGACAAAAAATATCAACGTTGTAAGGAGGATAAGAGCCATCCTGTATCAATGAAATATAATTATTGGCTAAAATACAATGGCCTTTGCGGAGCAAGATCAGGCCCGCAGGCCTTATGGTTCAGCATCTTTAACACAAGCAGATAACATTTCAGCCTCTTATGAGGAGTCTCCGCTAAACTTCGGCAGAAAGATTGTCAATGAAATATAATTATTGGCTAAAATACAATGGCCTTTGCGGAGCAAGATCAGGCTTGCAGGCCTTATGGTTCAGCATCTTTAACACAAGCAAATAACATTTCAGTCTCTTATGAGGAGTCTCAGCTAAACTTTGGCAGAAAGATAGAAACAAGAAGCTCAACAATCAAGTCCATAACAGATCTATTAGTATGTATGATACCGACAAACATAATTGCGTCATCTCTCTCAGCTGCTACATTGATTGCATGTCAACTTCAGTGACATCACATTTGCGGTTCTTTGCAATGCCTTCAGCACTGATGGTCAGTCACCACCCAGCCTCTCAAGCAACACGTTGCTGGCTGGAGCTAAAGCTTTGCTTACAGTCACCCAGCTTTGTTATAAGTCTGTAATACAATAAGAATTCACTAGTGCTACAGTGTCTTTCAGTCCACATAGACTGTCTAAGACCACATCAAAGAACTCTGTCCCCAGAAAATAATACATTAATTTGTTGTTGCAATAGACGATTGGACATGTATAAACTGCACCATCTCCGACCTCTCACGTCCATAAATAATAGCACAATATTTTAGTACCAATGCACCAAGAACTGCATAGAACACAAAGCCTGCATCGTTTTGTGGCTCCAGCATATCAAGCAGCACCGCATGCAGCCAAACCTTGGTGTCGTATTATACGCAACAGTGAGAGATAACAACCGGCAACGATGCAAGTAGCTGAAGGTTAATCCATAACATTTGCAAATACAGCATAAAACAGACTATTTTTCCATCATGGCAGACTGTATTTTGTCAGACATTTTTGTATTGCTTGATAGGTGCCCTTAATAAATGCTGTATTAAGATCAATATATCAAAAAAAGATAAAAGACAACAGGAAATAACTTCTTATCAATGTTCATCTAACAAACACAGCATTTGTTTTGTACACAATTGTTTGTAGGAGAAAGTTTGTTTAATAGGTATAATCAATAAAAAGGCAAAATAACTGATAATGCCCATAATAAATGCCATATTAAGATCAATACATCAGAAAAAGATAAGACAACAGGAAACAACTTCTTATCAACATTCATCTAAGAAACACAGCATTTGCTTTGTACACAATTGTATGTATGAAAAAGTTTGTCCAATAAGTATCATCAATAAAATAAGCAAAATAATTGACACTGAAAGAAAGTTATTATAACATCGAGATAATAACTGGTAATTTCTGGTTTGATGCAAATAGAAATCTTGAGTTTTCACTCGGGGAAGACCCCGCAAAAGTTTGTCTCCGTTGTCCCCAGCAAAGAAAGTTTGTTAAAGGCCCAGACAGGGTAAAATTCTGGAGTTAAATTTCTGGACGCGCACACTTGGCATGTTGGAAAAATATAACTAAGTACTCACTGCAGTGAGTGACAGAGCACATTTTCTCGTCGTCGAAAACGTGAAGTCACGGATGGACAGATGGACGGACATGATGAGCACAATAGACCCTTTTTTCCATAAATTAGAAAATGCGCTAAAAAGGTCCAATTTGCATGAGTTGTGCCAATGTTCTCTTGAGAAAATGAGTTGGAACGATAAAGCGTGCAGGAAAATGACGCATGTTTATAAAAACGCTTCACGAATGTAACCTCCAAATTCAAGAGACAACAACTTGGAAATCAGTTTTATTGTAAGGGAAAATATCCCAATTGTAATTGCAATATCAACGACCTGTCATCCTATTGCAAAATTTCCTGTAACTTTCATCAATGGCTGTTAATTTGAGTCATGGCTGCTGGAGAACACGTCTCAGGATATCGGCTGGTTATCGTTGAGCCGCAGAAAACGAGCAACGTCTGCAGGTACCAGATGCAACCAACAGAAAAACCATTTAAAAATTTCATTCTAAGCGAGGAGGAGGGGAGAAACTTGACTGCAAGTCAGGTAAACGATGAAAATTTAACTCTTAGCCAGGTTGAAAGCAAACTTGACTCCAAGTCAGGAGAAGAAGGCAAATTAGACTCTGCGCCTTGAAAATGAAGCAAATTTGACTCCAAGTCCGGGGAAAGAGGCAAATTAGACTCTGCGTCTGAAGAATGAAGTAAATTTGACTTCAAGTCAGGAGAATCAGGCAAATTGAACTCTGCATCTGAAGAACGAAGCAAATTTGACTTCAAGCCAGGAGAAGAAAAGAATTTAGACTCTGTATCTAACGGGTGAAGCAAATTTGACTCCAAATCAGGAAAAGAAGGCAAATTAGACTCTATGCCTGAAGAACAAAGCAAATTTGACTCCAAGTCAAAAGAAGGCATATTATACTCTGCGCCAGAAGAACAAAGCAAATTTGACTCCAAGTCAGGAGAAGAAGGTAATTTAGTCTCTATGCCTGAAGAACAAAGCAAATTTGACTCCAAGTCAGAAGAAGGCATATTATACTCTGCGCCTGAAGAACAAAGCAAATTTGACTCCAAGTCAGGGGAAGGAGGCAATGTAGACTCAATGCCAGAGGAAGGAGGCAAATTCAAATCTAAGCCAGGAGATGGAAGAGAATGTGACACTTTGCCCAGAGATGGGTTCAAAGCTGAATGCTTCGTCGAAATATGTCGATCCAAATATCGTTTTGTGACGAAGGAAAAATCACAGTGAGGGCAGCAGAAAGGTTTCTCTGTAGAATGCTTGGCAATCATATGATAATTCAGACTATATTTTGTGAGGAAAGCATATCCACACTTGGAGCATTTGTAAGGCCTTTCGGTTGAATGCTTAGCAAGTTGATGCGTCTTTAAACCTTGTTTTGTAACGCAGGCAAAGTCACATTCATTGCACTTGAGTGGCTTCTCTGCTGTGTGCCTAGAAAGAATATGTCGCTGTAGCTCATGGTTTGTAAGGCAAGTATATTCACACTGTGAGCAGTGATATGGTCTATCAGTTGAATGTTTGCGGAGAACATGGCTGTCGAGGGTCTGCTTGATGACACAAGAATATTTACACTTGGTACAGTGGAAACGTTTCTCCGAAGAATGTTTACGGAGAGAGTGTAAGTATAGCATACGTTTTGTAATGCAAGCATATTCACACTCGGAGCACTGATAAGGCTTCTTAGCTCCATGGACAGATATTTTATGCTTATTCAGCTGAAGTTGGATGGTGCTAGAATATTCACATTCAGAGCAGTGAAAAGGTTTCACTGTTGAATGCCTAGCACAAATGTGTCCATTTAAATCATATTGCTTAGCGCAAGCATACTCACATTTGGGACATTGGAAATTTTTCTCTGAATGTTTGCAACAAATATGCAAATTTAAATTTTCTTGCGAGATGCATGAAAAGCTACATTCAGAGCAGTGAAAATTTTTGCCTGATGAATGTTTGCTGAGAATATGCCTCTTCAAACGCTTCTTTGTGGCGTAGGCATGATCACACTCTGAACAGCGGAAAGATTTCTCTTTGCTGTGTTTGCCAAGAACGTGGTCATTCATAGCTCCTCTTGTGACGCAAGCGTAATCACACTGGGAGCAGTTGTAGGGTTTCTTAGTCGAGTGTTTGTAAAGTCTATGCAACCTTAAACGTGAACTTGTAGTGCAAGCATAGTTACACTCAGTACAGCAAAAATTTTTTTCTGTTGAATGCTGGAAACGAATATGAGAATTCAGGATAGATTTTTCAGCACAAGTGTATTGACACTCAGGACAGCGGAAGGGTTTTTCAGTAGCATGCTTAGTACGCATATGTCTAAGCAAATGAGATTGTCTAATGAAAGCACTTCCACACTCAGAGCAGTTGAAAGGCCTCTCATCAGAATGCTTTAAACGAATATGTAGCTTCAGGTAAGTTTGATCGGCAGCAGAATATTTGCACTGGGAACATTTAAAAGGTTTCTCCAATGCATGTTTTGAAAGAACATGACGGTTCAAGTCAATTAGCCTGATGCATGAGTAATTACACTGAGAGCACTTAAAAGGTTTCTCAGCAGTGTGCTTTGCTAGAATGTGCATATCTAAGGAATATTTTGTTACGCATTCATATCTACAGTGAGAACAGTGCAAAGGTTTCACCATTGAATGCACCGAAAGTCTGTGTGATTTCAGTCGCCAGCCATCAACACATGTAAATTGACACTCTGAGCACTTGACAGGTCTTTCTGAATGATGAGCAAGAACATGATACTTAATGTTACATTTTTTAATGCAAACATAATCGCAATCAGCACAGTGAAATGTTCTCTTGCGGTCATGCTTATCAGGAATATGCAGCTTCTGGGTGAGCTGCTTGGAGCTGGATGATGCAGAGACGTGGCCACCGCCACCAGCCGCCAATGCAGCTCCCTCCGCCATGGAGGACTTGCTACTGCTTTGCTGCTCACACCAAGAAAAGTCTCTTTAAGCCAGATAATTACTGCAATTATCCAGTATGCTTTGAATTAAAATTTTCATATAATATTAATTTCCAAAGTTTGAAATAAGAAAAACAAAATCAAAAATAATGTAGATGGAAAAATTCTTTTGAGACCATCTTCATCTACAGCCCCTACAAAATACAATTAATATAAGGAATAAAGATAACTATGCACAATTGCTAAAATAAATCAAACTCAACAAAATAGACAGCAATAAAAAATAATTACGTAACATGGAATTACGTAGAAACAAGAGGAATAAAGTGTATGAAAACAAATAATCATACAAAATATGCATACCAGCATCCCACACTCCTGATGCACCAATGCCCAAGACAGCCTCACTGGGAACATCCTTCTGAGGAGCACATAGCTGACCAAACTCACTAAAGTACATGACTATAAATAATGGCTATAAACCTATAAAAATATATTTTAAATTCATGAGATCTATCTGTACAGCACCATACATATGAACAGGTATCAAAATAATTGAAAGCAAAATTGAGCCATAATTATACGTATTATTTCCTGCAATATAGACCTGGTGAATGCATTCTTAATATAATGAGATTTCATATGGGATTATAAATCACTAGGGTATTAAAGCTAACATATATACTGTATAGTCACATGGGGAAGACAACACCAAAATCACTAACGAACCTGTGGCGCCTACCATGAATGACTGAAAAGACCTGAACAGTGAGGTGTGTTAGGGCACTGGGCTTGCTGACCTAAACTCAGACATTTTTAAAATAATTTTCTGTACAGAGCAAAAAAAATTGGGGTTAAAACATGACTGGGATGAGGTAAGACAGGACCAGGTTGGGGTAAGACAGGACTAGGCCGGGGTAAGACAGGACTAGGCTGGGGTAAGACAAGACCAGGCCGGGGTAAGATAGGACTAGGCTGGGGTAAGACAGGACTAGGCCGGGGAAAGACAGGACCAGGATGAGGTAAGACAGGACCAGGCCGGGGAAAGACAGGACCAGGCTAGGGTAAAACAGGTCTGGCTGGTAATTTTAGTGTTCCAAGGATTCTAGTCAAACGATGGTACCGGTATTCAATATTATCAATATAGAAACAAATTAGTTGTTGAAACAACCAGCTTTTATAGTTTTGTAGTGCTGGAAGTCCACTTGAATATTTAACACTAGGGAGTATTTGTCATTGGAGGGAACTTTTGTAAACTTGTCATAGAAGTAAGTTGGTTTTGGTTAATAGTAGAGCACTGCTATAAATATTTCAATTATTTCAACATTAATCATATAATCTGATCATCAGCCATTTTATCATTAGTAACATTATTCATGATTCCTTCCACTTCTCCACATCTAATTAGGCTGGAGGTCTTCCAGTTGTCTAATTTATTGATCATGTTCATTTTAATTGATGATTAAGACAAAGTATCAGAGTCATAGTTGTCTTTCTGTATGTCTCTTTCCTTTTGTCTGTTATTTTCTTGCAGCAATGCGTTTTACTCTCTATTTTTGGCTACGTGTATTGTTATCATATGTTGTTGACACTTTATCAGAAACCACTTAGACATACAAGCTTACATTTTTGTGCTACACCAGCAGATCTTTCCTGGACCTGGAGAACTGCCACCCGAGAGTGAGAAGAGTGTTGCATAATTATTCCAATGTTGGTTTCTACAAATTTTAGCAAAAAATCTTTAAAGAAACAGCTCCTCATCCAGCTTGAATCAGTTGAAGAACATTGAGTGAGCAGCTGTGTTTGATATATATAATCCAAGTGGCTAGCATTTGTTTCCCATTGAATGCAAAGCTTTGGTGGAGTGGCCTAGCAAAACAAGAGCAGTACCTTGTGATCATGGTCTTAATTGTCTACCTCACATGTACTGGCCGACTGGAGACATCGTTACCTGAACACTGGTCAAGTGAACTGCGCTTAAACTCATAGAAAACCAATGAGGCTCCAGTCAACTTGAAAATAATCACAAATAATGCCCAGGTGTGATAACTGACCTGTCTGATATCATTTATAGTGCCTTAAAAAGTTAGCAACTTGCCATTACCTTTTAAAGCATTAAGGGGATCAAGTGCTATTCCATTTGCATAGACTGCTGTCGACACATTGTATTTTCTCTGTTTGAGTCATGTGTCGTTCTCAGTTCTAACTCTCTTTCTTCCTATTGTTTTGGTATTCAATGAGTCTGGAAGAAATCTTGCTTCACCTATTTGAATATGATAACCGGTTTTGCATAGTGCATTCAAGTTATAATGCCTTCAATTTTTCTCTCACTACTCACCCAAAACCTATGAAACTTGTGTCATGTCTCCATGTAATAGCTCAGCAGCCACTCACATGTTTATTAAAGTGATGATATCCACATTCTATGACTTGCTAACTCCTCTTTTAAAGTCTGCTGTGACCACTGCAAAATTGCTAATGTAAAAGCTGCCCAGCTGATGAATACGCAGCCCCAGAGATGTTTTTAAGTTGGTAACAGCCCAAAGGTCTCTAGGAGCAATGTTAGGTGAATACAGTGCATGGGGAATTAATCCAAAGCTGCTTGCATCATGTTAGTGCGCCATTTGCCATCATACTGCATCAACACTGCTTGGCATCGTGCAATGCAAGCAGCTTTGTGGTCATTCCTCAGCATTCATGGCACCCACCTGTAGGTACTAGGCAGAACATTTTTAGCAGGAGGCAATCTTTACAGATTACTTCGATTGAGATTGTCTTCAACTCTGGTGGCAATCTATTCAACAGTCAATCCACAATATTGCATAACAACTTTCTCCAATTGCTCAATCCTGTCAACAGACCAGCTTGTGTGAAGCCGAGGTTTTCCTGGTTTGTTTTCACATGATATTCTGCCTTTATTCGACAAGTCGATCCACAAATGCACATTTGGTATGTCCTTGACACCATCATTTGTCTCCCTTGACTGGTGGTGAATTTGAATTTGTGTCACACCAAGAAAATGCAGAAAATAAATACTTAAACCCTGGTCATGTAATAAAAGCATCACAATTTTGAAGTATCAAAAACACCAAACCCATGCTGCCTTCCTTGGGGGTTCTCTTTGCCCTACTGTGCTGCCATCTCAAGCTCACATATGCAAAGTGTGCTAATTCGTTTTAAACAAACCGCATTTTTCTATCTAATTCCAATCAAGAGAAAATAAGTGGAGACATTAAAACTTGAATGCATTTCATATGGCAATCCACAAAACCTCAAATAATATTTCCACTCAGCAATGAAATGAAAAAAAATACTAATAATTTGCGAGTCAGATGCCATGATTTTCCCTGTTAACTCCATTTATGGTCAGTTTCTTCAAAAATTTCTCATGTCTTTTCAGGAAATTGTAAACCCAGTCTTGTCCAGAGCAGTTATTTTTGAAAGCAGTCACAAATATATATTAATTTTCCACAAGCAAATCTTGCACTTAGCTGTGCAGCATACTAATATCCAATTGCAGCATGCCCTTCAGGCAATTTACATCAGAACAGTCACAAATATATTCTCTTACATTAGAACAAGCTAATGAGTGAAATTGTTATTTTAAGGTAGAGATGAAAATTTCATCCAAAATTTTCATGCATATTCAAGTTGAATAATACTATCATTTAAATTTTTTATTATTCAAAGATTTCTACTTTTTGATTAACTATGGGGCAATATAGGGCCATTTGTGGAGTAAAATAGGATCATTTGGCAGTCCAATCTTACCCAATATCCAGTCATTTTTTACTCCATTTTAGAATGTAAATCAGGCAATGATGTTAACAAACAGGAATGCCTAGTACCACTTAAAAGTTGTTTCTTACTGAAAGTTACCTACCTACATCCACAAAACTGGCCAAAAATATTTTGGTATTAGCCAAAGCTCATTTCCCATAAAAAATTAAATATTTTCTGACCTTTCTTGAAATATATATTTTTTTGTCAAAAATTCATTATTTGCAGCATAGTGTTGCAACAAACACTGAAATGACTAGAATAAATAGTTGCTTAACAGATTCTTCCCTCACATTAAATTCAGTGCAATTAGTATGCACATCAAGGGCTGGTTCTTTCTTACCCCCTGAAGGTTGCAATCTCGTCTTACCCCATTTGACTATGAAGTTTTTCATAAAAACTATGTGAAACCATCACATCACAAAGTTGCTGTGCTCTATAATGCTTTTGTACAACACATAGAATCTTCATGACTTATACTTAGTGATGCAATTTAAACATAATTCAATTTTTGAACTACAAAGAGATCTAATAATAAATTTTCAATAATTAATTATGTTCTTCCCCTTCATGTGGAGTTCACTCAATGCAATAATTAATATAACACTTAAAACACATCACAAGATGAACATTCTCCTCCTGGCAAACCCTCCCCACCTGTTTTTCTGTCACCCCTGCCATGGCTGAGGGTTGTTGGGGGGCGTGGGGAGCCTCATGAGCCTCACTTGGCGCTTCCCTCTTGCAGGGCACACACAGCGGGGGAGGAGGGACTGGCAGGTACCCACACCCAGGGCTGGGAGGCTCATGTGTTTGTCCCTACAAGGGAAAATAATATCTACCTTCATAGGAAATTCAGCTATCTTGGATATATTGACCACAAAATACAAAAAAAAATGTTGTAGATTGATTTCAAAGCTACTAATTATTTAATTGCTAATTACCTATTATTATTATGTTTAAACCTTTTTCAAGATTCATTTTGGTTAATACATTTTCTCTACATCCTTTAAATATATCTTAAATATACACATTTTTCATCCAATCTTTTGTAAAATTTTGCAGATGATTATAATGAGTTCTGGTTTTAACATGCCAGTTGACAAGTATACCTTTTCATCATAATGAAATGATTCTTCTTTCACGCAAACTAGCTCCATCCTTTCCACTAACTCCTCCTTGATGTTCTCAGGTGGAACTGCAGGGGCTGAAGAGGCAGCCCCAGCATCCAAAACTGCACAAAGGAAATAGAAAACAAAGTGTAAAATGTTGCACAGGATAAAATGTTTTATTCATGTAAAAAATTTGCATTCACTTTCCAAATAAATAATTGGTGAATATTAAAAAATCAATATTAAATTAATATTAAAATTAATATTAAAATCAAAATTTTTATGAACCTCTCTACAAATTATAATATCTCAAATTTGAAAGCAACCATGTGTGATGGAATACATATACTGTGATATTTTTCTAGTACCATTCTGAGTAAACACATATGATGTTCTTTTGCCTAGATGAGTATTAGATACAAATAAATAATGGTTGTTGAATATATTCATTATATACAGACTAGAACATGGAATCTCATTTCAATGTGACATTATTATTGATAGCATTATGTTATTATTGTCTGCTAACCCTGGCCATGTGCAGATTCATTTCTATTATATATTATCTGTAAATTGTGATTGATTACATTGCTCAATGTCTTGATCTTTGATTTATTGATTATTTTTTGACAAACTTTCTTCAATTATTTCATCAGTGGACTTTGCTTTTATTGAGATAATCATAATGATTTACTGCTTTGTATGTAAATAAAGCTGTCTATTTACAGTACCATCATTAGGCAAGTACAGCTACATTGACATCTTTGCGTGACTAAGCTGCACATCTGTGAGCTATATGTTCTATGAAATGTCAATTATAACATGTAATCATGTTGCCAAAAGGTTAAACTTTTTATTACAGTGATTCTATAATGAGATAATACTTCTTGTTGCACATTTATGATGCTTTTAGTCAATATTTCATTCATCCAGGCAAAGTGCTACACAGTTCTTGACTCATGTGCTTGCTAGTTAGTTTTATTTGAGAGTTATTCATTCATATATCAACTTTCACCTCTCAATATATGGCTGAAGGATTAAAATATGGTTCTTCTCTATTATAATATATTATATTATCAGTTTTTGCACATAGGTGATGTTAATAGTCTGTTTTGTGTAAATTGTAAATGAGTTATTGTTGTATGGTTATTTTACTTGAGTTATACCTTGTAGACAAATTTTGAGTGATATGGTTATTTTACTTGAGTTATACCTTGTAGACAAATTTTGAGTGATCAGTGTGACTGGGGTTAGGGTCCAAGCACTTTGACTCCTATTCAGAGAGCCAGATCTGGGCTACTAAGATTCTGCACTAGTTGTGGACATATCTCAAAAGCCTAACCCAACTGACAGAGTTGGTCTGGTGCAACTCCTACCTGCACCAAACGCACCTCTCATGTTGTGGGGCTAATACCCTCTGTGCTTGATTATATTTGTCAGTATCCTGGTGTGGCTTGTACCCGTATGGTTTGTGCCTCTTGTGCCGTTGGGGTAATACTTTCGGCGATCTAGAGTAATTGGATCGTGACTTGTACCCATATCATTTGCCATCTAATTCTTCTGCTACTTGGTGTGCTTGTACCCATATCATTTGCTTTACTCAGCAGTGTATTGGAGCTTTTGCCCTCAGTAGCTATGACTGGCTTTTTACATTTGTGTACTTACTGTCTGACTTTTCTGGGTTTCAACTTAACATCACATGCAATTTCACCACTTGTCAACGCTTGCACCTCTGAGGTTGTAATTTGGTCACCTGGGGGTTTTGAACTGTTGATGCAGAATAATATGTATCTACATTGAATGAATAAATTGTGCACCTTGTATAAAGAATCTAGTACACCACTTATAGATCATCAGGAAAGTTTCCCTTGTCTTTATTCCTCCCCACTTGAATGCAAAGAAATGCAACTCTCTAGCCCTTGCGTTATGTGTTATTCTCACAACAAAAATCTTGTGAAGTTGGCATGCACTCATAACTATTTCAACTTCGTAGTAGTGTTTCTGGTTACACTTTCCAATGAACTATAAGTGCATGATCAAGCTAAATTCAAGGCTTACCTTCACACTTCACACTGCCAGCATCAGCACACACTTGAGCGAGGCTTGGCATGGCACACCAGCCCCTCCCCACGGCAGCTGCAGGGAGTTGGTGCAGCAAAACTCGGCACTCAAATATATTATGGGACATGATTGCATGTGATGGTAGATTGCCAACACTAACTAAACATAAAATCTTCAGTTATTACAATCTGTTTTTGAATTTATCTGTCACAAAAATAACAACACAACAAGATCTGTGAAAGTTAATTAAACAGTTATAATTTTAGAAGCCATCAAGGGAAAAGCCTTAAAGATACAAGATAAATTTTAGCAGGTTTCAACGCTAATCAGGAAAGTTACCATACATTGTAACACAAAATTTCCAAGCAAAATACCTAGACACATCTCTAGGTTTGTGTGAGGCTATATTACCATGCAATTTTTAGCGCATTTTCTCATTTATGGAAAAAAGGAGCTATTGTGTCCGCCATGTCTGTCCGTATGTCTGTCTGTCCGTCCATGACTTCAGGTTTCTGTTGACGAGAAAATGCGTTCTCTGTCACCAACTGCAGTGAGTACTGGATTATATTTTTTAATCATAAATCACGTGATTATTCCTCAGACACCAAAATTAGCCCTTTTAACATTTTTCATAAAGGAACAAAGAAGCCATATCTACTGGCTAATACACTCTCTTGTACTAGCTTCACAATTCCTGGGATTCTAGTGTAATTTTTCATAATTTATTTACTGTTCTATTTTGCTGAAACAGTTTAATCTGCTGAAAAATATATTGGTTTACTAAGATGGGTTTTACTAGTGACTTTTTTTTACTTTTACTAGTTTCAAATTGCAGCATAACAAATATCAAAAGGCTTTGTTGTTTCCATGTGTGTTTGTGACGGGGGTGCTAGAAATTCATTGGGGAGCCAAGGGAGTGCCAGCCTGCAAAATTTTGGGAACCATTCTCATAGGCCATAGTTAAGGGCAAATTAATCAACAGTCATAGAAACTGGTGAAATTAACCATAATCACTGGTCTCTTACTCTAATTCAGTTGTGGCTTCTGCCTAATTTTTAGGTTTGGATATTTTGTCCACAGTTTAAAAAGTAACATGAGAAATGATGGTTTTTACTAGTAGATTTTGGAAAGCTGACCTAAATTCCAGCTTGGACACATGGGGTTAAGACTGCCAAATTTATTGATAATATTAAAGGTTATAATGACTGGTTGCAGCTGGCAAGGTTGGAAAAATCTTACTCTTTTCTGAAATATTGTGGTCTTAATATCACAGAATTTCAATAAGTATAAAATCTTGCAGCTCAAAAGTTGTGTACATCTTACGGGGTAATGAGGGATGATTTTGAGCATTTTTTTTAATACCATCAAATGGGCTGATAAGGGATGGGCGGGGTAATAAGGGACAGCCCTCTGACATTTTGTAGAAATGTTGTGGCAGCTAAACTAATTAAGATATTGCAAAACAAAAAATAGTGGCTTAAAGTTCAACATGTTTTCTATCTGTTCAGCATAAAGCAAATCAATAAATCATACACTTACTACCTCTAAAAAATCCTTGAAAAAAAAGTGTAAAAAATGATATTTTGGAATAGTACCTCTGCTAAGGTGTGTAGCAAAAAAATATTCACTGTATTAAAAAATTTTACCTACATAAAAGTTGCACACAGGTGTTGGCTTAAAAATGTGATTGACGGAATTAGCGTATCTCATTCCAGAAAAAAATGGCGGCCATTTCCGCATGATGGGGTAATAAGGGACACCCCCCTCCCCGAGGTAATAAGGGACACCCCTAAAAATGCATTTACAGTAGAGCCTTGGTTAGCAAAGGCTCCAATTAAAAAAATATATTAACAACAAATTATTTTGATTAGATTTACCTCACTCAGCGAAAAAATTTCACTTGACAAAAAATTACTGCATCATCGGTCATTACCAAACTGTGCATAGAATTTCATAGATAGAATTATTCACTGGGCAACATAGAATGAGAAGTAATTATCCTAAACTATGATTTTTTCTCAGAAAATATGATGGTTGTCACTAAAATATTCCTTTGTGTTTAAGGTGTGTTTTACATTCTTCTGTTGGTAAAGTGAATTCACTTAACCCAATAAAATGATGCAAATTACAAGCCATCCTGTAAGCTTACCTACAGAATAAATGCTATATGGCTGCTGATATGAAGCTTGCAGTGGACAAGGTTGTTGTCAATGCTCAATGGCATGTCCATGGATCTGTTAATATCATATCAATAGAGGAAAAACAAGTAAAAATCACAGAAAATGTCATCTATTCTACATATACTGTCAACATCATCTACAAAGGAAGAGGAAGACTTTAGAGTACTGTTGGTAATGGATGAGTACACTCTGCATACTTGAAACATTTTGAAATTGAGTTTTATTTCAAGTGTCCCTTATTACCCCATTCCCAGGGTTGGTTCAGGAGGCTTTTATTTTGTGTCTGGCACCTTACAAATAGCATTTAGAATTTTTCAGAGATGCCATACAATAGCCCTTGCAAATGCTTTTAAAATGAGCCCAAACTCATTTGTGAAATGTTTCATTGTAAGAAGTTATCAAGGAAAAACGCTCAAAACCGTCCCTTATTACCACGTTTGATGGTAACTTCTTACCATGAAACATTTCATAAACGAGTTTGGGCTCATTTTTAAGGTATTTGCAAGGGCTATTGTATGGCATCTCCAAAAAAATCCATATGCTATTTGTAAGGTGCTGGACGCAATATAAAAGCCTCCTGAATTTTCCTGGAAATGGGGTAGTAAGGGACACTTAACACGCTGACCACGTATTGGTACATATGCGTACCACGAATTGTATTTCTCCAGGAGGTAGTGGTACATAATTCAGGTTGCCTAAAATCGGCCAAATTCGAGAACAAAAAAGGCCAAAAAAAGGCCAATAATTCAATGTATACTAGTTTATTTGTAGGTTCCGCTATAAAATTCCATTTATTTTCTTTTTGCAGTATTTAAAATTTAATTAGGAAGTACCCCTATCATAAATTTTAGCCGGCCAACGCAATTGAGAAAAACTAAATCACGGAATTTGTCTGGAAAAAATGACCGTCTGGCAACCCTGCTTAAAAAAAGTACTAAAAATGAAATAATAGTACAAGATGAAGCAATCATAGTCAACGTGTTAAAATAAAACTCAATTTTAAAACATTTGAAGCATACAGAGTGTACTCATTCATTACTAACAGTACTCTGAAGTCCTCCTCTTCCTTTGTAGATGATGTACATGTAGAATAAATGACATTTTCTGTGATTTTTACTTGTTTTTTCTTTATTGATATGATATTACCTTATCGATACATTACCGTATTATTGATGTGATATTCCCGTATCCACAGAAAGGCCATTGAGCATTGAAAACGACCTTGTCCACTGCAAGCTTCATACCAGTAGCCATGTAGCATTTCTTCTGGATCTGTAAGCTTGCAGGATGGCTTGTAATTTTGCACAATTTTAATTGAGACAAGTGATTCCACTATAACAAAAAAGATTGTACAAAACATACTTGAAACAGGAAGGAATATTTTAGTGACAACCATCATATTTTTTGAAGAAATAAATCATAGTTTATGTTAATTACTTTTCAATCTTTGTTGCCCAGTGCTCAATTTTATCTATGACATCCTATGCACAATTTTATGAGGACTGATGCATTAATTTTGGTTGAAATAAATTTTTTTCACTGAGCGAGGTAAATGTAATCAATATTCTTTGTTGTTAATTGATTTTTTCATTAACTGGAGCATTTGCTAACAAAGGTTCTACTGTAAATGCGATTTTTACCCCTGGGGGTGTTGCTTATTACCCCATTTTGCGGAAATGGCCACCATTTTTTCGATGAGATACACAAATTCTATCAATCATGTTTTAAAGCAAACAACAGTGTGCAACTTCTATGTAAGTAAAATTTTTTCAATATGACCAATTTTTTTTTCTGCTGCAGGCCTTAGCAGAGGTACTTTTCCAAAATCTCACTTTTCACACTTTTTTCAGGGATTTTTTATAGGTAATAAATGTATAATTTCTCAACTTGCTTTATGCTACGTAGATAGTAAAAACGTTGAACTTTATGCCAATATTTTTAGTTTTGCAATATTTTGATTAGCTTAGCTGCTACAACATTTTTACAAAATGTCAGAGGACTGTCCCTTATTACCCCGCCCATCCCTTATTACCCCATTTGATGGTATCTTGGTTTGATCAGAAATATTGTGGTCTCCTAAAGTGTTATTTCACAGCATATTGAACTTCCCTGATTCGGTATCATGCTCCAGACAAAATATCCCGCACCCAAAACATTTAATTGACAATCATCAACCACTACCATTGTGTGAATGGATCAATGCTGCCACCACCACATTAAATGATCAATACTGCCAGCACTGCATAAATGGATCAATAGTATTCAATACCACTGCCATTGAATGAATAGAGTGATACCACCACCATCGCATAAATAGATCAACACTGCGTTAATTTGGGAGTTGGCACTTGAGTTTTCTACTTAAAAATGGCTTCCCACAGCCTGGAAAAGAGACTCCTGGCATAAATATCTGTGAATTCATGGCTTCACTTCAAATTGTGGCACAGAGTGGATATTTTCCAGACTGAGTGTAGATCAGTTTTATGAAATACTTATTTATACTTATATTCAGGGAAATCTGCAATATTGTTATTGAGCATAATTTTTCAAAAATCATAGGTAAAAACAATCATTTTACATGTACTTTTCAAAGATTATTAACTGACATGTACTTTTTTTCCTATTTTAGTGCCCTGAATGGTTTAGTTTCCCACTACATTCAGTCAGCTGAGTGAGTGACATTATAATGAATATGTCAGCATTTCTTTCATATAATAATTTTAATAAATGAGCATAGAATTCTTTTTGGATGCACTAGTGAGGAAAATGCCTACTCACTGTGAAGCAACTGGATTTTTAACATAACATAACATTGTGATCTCGGCATAGCACTGTAGGCCTGATTTGGCCTGTCGCCAATTCTTTTCCTTTTCGTGCCTTGATCACAGAAGATCTAAAATCATGTCATTTGCCCGGATCTTTTCACAACTGTCAAAAGTTTGAAATAGCTACTTGACTTACACCGGGTTCAATATGGTGCTAGGCATTTCAAATCTGAACATATATATTTCCATTGCTTTATCTAGTCTGTTCTTGAACGCGGTCATA